TTGTTCACGCTTATTTGGTAATCAGAATATCAGTTAGTAAATTCGGAGAGCACATGTTTATAAAATGGAGACAAATAAATAACATATAAAAACAATAAATAACAACGATACAAATAAATAACATATAAAAAACAGCACATAGACATCCTAATAAAAATATTTCTGAATTATAATGACATTAATCCTGCACTCGTTTAATCATAATATTTGAAATTTAATGAATGTTTTATAAATATATTTATGAACATTATGACATATTGAATAAACATGTTTTGTATTTATTTTTTACATAGGTGTGTTTTAAATTTGAGTATCGTTTGATTTAGTTGGTAATATTATGCTTTAAATTTACACCGTTTTTTTATATAAACTAGGAATTGAACTAAAGTAAGTATAAAAATAACGGGGTGTATTTATTGATGTAGGCAAATGCACAAATCGGTTCTGAGAGTTTGCAGAGACATACTTAATGGAATAGTGTTGAGGTAAGCCGGGAATAGGTACAACATTAGACGAATTACTGACTTTGGCTTACCCTACTGGAGTGTTGTTAATTGACCGCATCCAGAATTGCTCATTGATGTTTCTATGCTACACTCTTCTTTTTACTTACGAAACATTTTCTCCGCTTTTGAATAACTGCATGCAAGTTGATTAAAAATATTTTTAAATATTTAAATATAGTCCAGACCTTTTAAATAATTTGTACATCCTTTTTTATGCTTAAACAAAGCGAAATGTTATAATTGGAGTCCTATTGTCCAATTGGAGTATAATTGTAAAAAGACTTACCGCCTGTCGCAATGTATATCTATTAGACTGTTTTAATCAACCCATTTAGAACCAAAAGACGTGAGACTTGCATAGAAGTAATAGGTACAGTTAGGCCGTCAAGGTATATATAACGTTAAGACGAAATCCTGTTTTATGCAGCGACACCGACTACCGCGTGACCGGCATCATAGACTTCGGCGACATCCAGTTCTCGTACTACGTGTTCGAGCTGGCCATCAGCATGACGTACGCGATGCTGCTCAGCGGGCAGCCGAGCACCGGCGGCCTCGTGTTGGCCGGCTACACGGTCACCAGGCGCCTCCCGGACCACGAATACCGCCTGCTCAAGGTTCGCTCTTTCGCTCTCTCTCTCTCTATCTATCTCTATCTCTCTACTGTCACCTGTCCGAATTGTACTAATGTACACAAAACACCAATCTCGCTTGCTCAAATTACATTTATATAACTAATATTTGAAAATTGGAAATGAGATGAGGCTTTTGGTCGGTTAAGTGAAGAGTCCGAAAGCACTGTTGGATTCTGTTGACTTTCCTTTTTCTTGGATTAGATAGATGTATCAACTTGAGGTACGTCTAATACAAGAGTTCATAGTATTTTGGTAGTGTAGAAAACTTAATCTTCTAAGACAATGTAATCGAAAAGAAGGACTTTTATATAGAATATTTTATTACTACTCCCAAACTCACTCATCTAAACCTACTTCCAAAAACCATAGTTTTTATATATAATTTAAAACATAAAACAAATCGAATATCATGATATCATGATATTCGATTTGCTTTGTCTTTTAAATTATTTCATTTGAATTAATTTTCTTCAAAAACAAAAAGGTTTCAAATACGATAAAAAGAAAAAAAATCCAATTTTAATAATCGTATATGATAAAAAAACGTACTACGGAACCGTTAGAATGCAAGTCCATTAATTTATTTTTCTCCTAGACCTTAATCTCGGCGAGGCTGGTGCAAAGCCTGATCCTGGGAGCATATACGTTGGAACAAGACCCCAGCAACACGTACGTCAGTTCCACCGAGAAGGCAAAGGGCTGGGAGCTGCTCCGGAAGATCAGGAAGAGCACGCCCAGCCCCGAGGGCGATGACACCGATTGGAAGACCATCGCCAACGAGTACCTCACGAGAAGCTAACTATGCACTTCTGTCTTCGATACAAATACTTATTGATAACCATATTTTTTTATGAAGTTATTTTTTATTAACAATGTAAAAACTTTCTTCCTTTTGCTTTTTATTATAAAGTTATTTAATTTTTTATTAATTATTAATGAATATAAAATGTAGAAATAGATTGAATAAATGCAGGTTCAAATTAGCTTATAATACTATTAAGTTGTTGTACTGTTACAACGTGTATGAAAAATATTGATAAGATTAATAACAATTAATAGTTCAAGAAGTTACTTAGTAAATAAATAATAAATAACTGAAATATATTTGTCTTTCTTTTCAAAGTGATTGAAAAATAATAATGGGACATTTTCACAAGCAAAAAAATAACGTGGTATATTATAGCGAGTGCTATCAATTGATTCCCCTTAATGTTTGTTAGTAAATATTAATTATAAACATCGATTTACCCGTAATTCTATTGATTGGAATACACAACTATGTCACCAAATGCAATAGTGCAGTTGAAGCGTCATCACTGCGCAGAACCTATATTGTAATTAGATAGAAATACGGACAACGGCAGTTTATTTCACTATACGCTACGATTATTGGTCAAATCCATTTCTCAAATCTAGATTGATGATAGGAAAGGAGTGAAGCTGATTGCTCTGGTGTACAAATGGGCCTACTCATCTGGGGACGTCCCTCGCCGGAGCCCGCCTTAAAGTGGAGATATTTTTACTTTTGCATTTTGTCGAGTCAGTGACGTAATTGGGGCCCATATTTTTAAAGGTTGGCAAGACATCTGTAACTACAGGTGGGCCACCTACTCCCTTGCCAGGTGCTGGAAAGGATCTCACATAAATAATAGGACAAATGAGCGATAAAATAGTATGATTTTTTTTTAGATTACTTCCCAAACCGAGCAATAGAGCTTCGATTGGATATTGATGGCAACAAGGCGCAACTTATATCGGCACTTAAAAAAAAACCTTCTACAAAGACCTTTTTTCGAATACAAAAGCCGGCATATTTAATCGGAAATAATACATATGTAATATCGTCTAATATATTTCTGGTAATGGTTTTGAACTTAAGTTAGTACAACTATAATATATTTTCTTTATTTATCGTGAAAAATGTACACTCATTCTGTTGGCTTCAGGTTTAATTTAGTTGACGACCTCAATTTAGTGCTTAAACTGTGTGAATAATTATAGGTTTTAAATGACCTATTGTCCTGATTTAAAAAAATACTGACACCCTACCCATGGTCGGTGTTGCTGATAATTAGAGTTACCATTTAACAACATAATATTCTGGTAATTAGTTATTGTTTGAAAACGTAAAAATTGGCGCAGCTTCTTACCGGCACCTGTATGTTTAAAAATATGTATGCGGAAAATAAAAGTAACGTTTATTGAATCACACTTGACAGACTATCAGTATTGTTTATTTGTTTAAGGCAGTAATTGAATGTAATAAATCTTTTTATGATCTGTGTAGGATTACGGGTATGTTCTTTCTATTTGGGCCTTATGAGTTGGTTGGTTGGTTGGTTGGTTGGTTAGGTTAGGTTAGGTTAGGTTAGGTTAGGTTAGGTTAGGTTAGGTTAGGTTAGGTTAGGTTAGGTT